AAAGCTTATAGTCAAATATACAATGGGAAGTCTAGACATTTGGGTGTTATACATAGTATGGTTAGGGAATTAATCATGAATGGGGTGATATCTATTGATTTTGTTCGGTTGCAACAAAACTTAGTTGACCACTTGACGAAGGGGTTAGCTAGAGACTTAGTGAAGAAGTCGATAATTGGGATAGGATTAAAGTCCATTTAAATCTATTAGCTATGGTATACCTAATTCCCTTCTAATACAACGTTAGAAGCAAAATTCAATGTGGAAAGATCATAGTTAGAGATTGGAGCAATCGTGTTTATCTTCCCAAGGTATGTGCTCAGACCTGCAAGTAATGGCTAGGTTGAAGTATATCTTCTTAATGGTTCTCTTTGAAAAATTGCAAATGCAGGTGCAAGATTAAAAGGATCACCTATGTGAGCATGAAATTTTGCCGCTTCAGGAAGCTTGGACTTGGCTTCCTATATGCTTATTAATGGATAAGGACACATGCCTTGTAAAAGTGTCAAGAATGAATAGTAGAGTATTGTAAGAAACATATGTGTATTGTATCTTCAGATATTCAAATGGATTGACGGGTTCAATCGTTATGACACCCCGATTTTCGAGTATTTGAAATGCGTATTTGTACTAAGATGAAAATTCAATCGCAAGACATTTTCGTTTATGCATTTGTTTGATCGTTATATCTGTAGGTTGTACCCTTGTATATATTTTTATGTACTGAGTAAATCAAGGATTACACTAAAATGGGGGGGATTTGTTGGTGATTTTAGTATCACCAATGTATTTTAGTAGTAATGTGATTTACTAAAGGCCGATGCAATTATGCGTTAAGCTTGGAAACGAGTTAGGGAAGTGCGGAGTGCACGCTCGTCGAGCCAATGTATAATTGAATATGAATAATTGAAATGGGGTTCCAAGGGGCGAAGCCCCTGGCGGGGTACGGGGCAGCGCCCCGTTGGGGTTCCAAGGGGCGGAAGAAAACTGATTACAAATGTAGAGAGAAAGTATTCTTTTTTCGTCTTTGATGATTATGGATGTGGAATCTTGATCAAGAGTGACACGCACTAGCAGCTTTAGCACCATCCTAACTTCCATGGATCTAAGGTGAGTTCCATAGTTAGGAATGTGGATAGGATTTTTGAAATCTTGCATGATCATGGGTTAGATTGAGATAACAAAGTCGCATGCTTGATTATTTAATGAAAATGTGTTCTTATGATGTTCCCTTATGTCTTGGGTGATTAGTATATTCCTTAGATCGTTATTATACGTTAGGATTCAAATTGGGATGAAAAGAGTGGTGTTAGGACCCCAAAATTCGTGTTTTGTACTGTCAAACTCGCTTAGCGAACTCTGTGTTTGCTTAGCGAATATCTGCAGACTGCACAAAATTGTATTTCACTGAAATGGCTATAACTTAAGTTTTACAACTCGAAATGAAGCACATTCGAAAGCGTTGGAAAGGTCTTTTAATGCTCCTATTGATTATGCTTAGATATCATGCTATTAGTGTAGCTATGGAAAATGTCACATGAATCTTGTGTTGCTTAATGTTGAATGAGCACACATAATCTTGAGTTTATGTTTATGGGATGTTGTCTCTTATGTTGGTCTTATGTTAGGATGTTCACCTTGATAAATATGTTGTATATTGTCATCCTAACCTGATTTGTGGACCTATGGTGGTATTTAAGGAGTTTAGATGCATTATGGAAATTCTGGTTTTTTTTTAATGCAGCAAAGTTCACTTAGCGAAGTAGCCAAGTCTAGGACTAAATTTAATTAGGGAATTATTCGCTACGAGTTCGCTTAGTGAATCGGGATCTCGCTACTAGTTCGCTTAGCAAACTACCCTGGACAACAAATTTTGTAACACTAAAATTTGCATAACTATAGTTTGAAAACTCGAAATAAAGCCCGGTTTAAGGCGTTACAAAGCTTATTCGATCCCCTACCTATCTATGAATGAATTATATGCCTTTACACCTATTTTGGAGTACAAGATGGGGTTGTGATATGACCAAAATATGCCTCTCTTTTATATGTACTTAGTGTAATGCAATACGTTGATGAATTCCATGAAATGATTACTCTTATACAAATTGGTATGTATGTACTACTAATGCGTTGTGATGCAATCAATTTATTAGTTGCTTCCTGTTCGTTCTGGTTGAATGTTCGGAGATGTGTGCCTGTGTGGCTTGATGTATGCATGTGTGGCTTGATGCGTGCATGTGTGGCTTAATGTATGTCTGTGTGGCTTGATGTGTGCATGTGTGGCTTGATGTATGCTTGTGTGGCTTGGTGCGTGCATGTGTGGCTTGATGCACATTGTGTTGATGTATTCTTGAATCGAAGTAGACTTATGCTACTAGGTGGTAAATCACTAAGACCTGACTGTGTGACCACTTTTATACCGTTGTGATGTCGTTGAGAGGGTCGAATAAAAGGGTGTTTCCTCCAGCATATAACCATCTGTGTTCTCGGTATGTCATACACACCTGAGCTGTCATTACAACGCGTGAGCGGATGTGAAAAGGCGTTTCTGCAACAGGAAAGTATCGGCATGCTTGTCATGGTGGGGTTGTGATGCTAAGTAGGCAATATCACTTTAGTAAAACTCACCTCTAATGGTGCCACGTAGGCAATACTATTAGGCTTTCACCTGGTGGGCTTGTGTAGGCATTACGACTTATTTGCACTAATAATCCACACATCTACATATTAATGACTGATGGGGTTGTGACGCCATATAGGCAAGGTCACTTCAGGAAAACTCATCACGGATGAAATTCCACGTAGGAATGATCTGATTTATCTTCTGGTGTGCATGTGCAAGTCTTTTGACGATTAGGCACAAGAGATAACCCATCGAGGGTGTGGTTATGTGGCCTAGATAGACAGGTAGAACTTACTTCTGAATTCCTCGTACACGGGTACGAGTCTGCATACTTGTTTGTGTGGTTGCGTGCCTATTTGTTGTGTTAATCTGACTGGATAGTCAAGGGGCTTCCAATGTGGATGGTATTCATGTTTGTATTTGTACCATGACCATGAGGTAAACCCCAGATCTACGGTGAATTCGTTTGGTTGCATGCACCTCGTAGAACCGAGTGAACCCATAATAAGATAGGGGAACTCACTGAGATTTAGTAATCTCATCCTGATCCTCTCATCATTTTTCAAGAACAAGTTAGAAGTAGAAGAATTTCCAGATGGTTCGCGTTGAAGACTATTGGCGAGCAGATGACATGAAGGCCTTATTAGACGTTATCTTCTGTTGTGCATTGTTTTAGACAAGCAGATTATATACATTTTAAACAAGAGTTTAATTGTATATGATTTTTATTTTTTGTCTTTTCCACTTATGTATGTTTCTTGTACCTTTTATAACACCACTACATATTATTCTAGACGTATATGTATGAGGTGTTACAATTGGTATTAGAGCAGGTCAATTCTTGTCCTTACCATGAAATATCACTAGCAATTCTCTTCTCTTACATGTGTTGAAGCTAGCCTGATTTCTACTATAATAGTATCCAGTCGGTGAGCCTAATCACCTCACTGGTTGCATATGTGATAGATAGAGTCATGGTGGAGCCATCACGAGGATGCGTAAGACCCGAAGCAACTCAACCTGAAGTGATGGAAGTCGGTTAAGTAGAGGGAATGTTGGAATTGTCAAGCGTAAGAGGAGTAATTGTCATGGAATAATTGACGTCCCAACAGTCCTGGTAAGGTTGGAGACAATTGGGAGTTTCACAATTTTTTATTATACAAAGTTAACCTTCTCTGGGTCCTTGTGGCAGTGAAGGAAATCTATGGAGCACTTGAGCGGGAATGTAGTAAGGGAATTTTGAGATGGAGCTAAGCCTGAAGCCATTGGATTTCACTACTCTGTTCTGGTGCCATCAACAGAAATGGCTAGAGAGTTTTGGCCAGGGATACGGAATCCTTCTAGTTACTCTAGTATGGGCAGTACTTTGATGGACAAAGTGCCACACTCTGATTCGTTCTGTTATGCCTTGAGATATGTTATGCTCTCCAATTAGAAGATTGATAGTACAAGTGAAAATGGTGCTCTCCAATTAGAAAATCTTGGATACCTGTTTTGGTGAAAGTAACTACTGCATCTCCTTGTTTATTCATAAATGTGCAAGTCCTAGAACTACGCTAGGCAACAGCTAAGTGTATGGATATGCTATTCATAAATATGTGAGTCCTAGAACTACACTAGGCGGCAACTAAATGTATGAATATGCAAAGTGCAATAATCCATGTTCCCTGCTAGTTGTGATTCATCTAACCACGAGTAAAAGCCATAGAACTATGCTAGGTGTTTAGGTGAATTGACAAGTTTCTCTTATGAAATCCCCACTCATCATTTTTCAAGAACAAGTTAGAAGTAGAAGAGTTGTCGGATGATTCACGTTGAAGATGGTTCGCAAACATATGGCAAGAAGGCATCATTAGACATATGCCTTAGACATTATTTCTGTTGTACATTGTTTTAGACAAACTAATTGTACACATTACTAATTGTATACATTTTGAATCAAAATTTAATTATATACAATTTTTATCTCGTCTTTTCCACTTATGTATATGGGATGTTACGCATCCAATTTCAAGGAATCATCTATATTATTTTAGACCATCTACATTATTTGCATATTACATATTGTGCATAATATTTATTTGCAAGAAAGAAGTCGAATGATATTTTAACATGTACACAACTTTAAAAACTCTTGGGTTGGTAAGAGGCAATGAACCAAACAGAATAAATTTTAGAGAAATTAAGAGTAAAATATAATAATGGTTTTATGGATTAGTAATGATATATTCAAACCACTTGCAAAATAACAAAATACTAAAATAGAAGAGAAAGCAAAAGAATATGACAAACTATTAAACCAAACACAAACAGTTTTTTCTGAAGATTTAAAGCAAAGTAATGATAAAATGTAGCAACTTGTTCGAGGCCATATTCAAAACTGAACAATTTGATAGGCACGGAGAATCGCCTCAGGTAATCGATTTTGCCAACCTTCAATGCAATATACACCAATTATCGATGCTCTTGCTCTGCAAATTGGCTTTAATATTCTAGTAAACAAAAGAAGAAAAAAAACAACACACAAAAAGTATTTCTGAGATTGAAGATTACAAAGCAGAGTTATTAAAAAATGTAGCGACTTGTTCGAGGCCATATTCAAAATTGAATGATTTGATAGGCACGGAGAATCGCCTTCGGTAATCGATTTTGCCAACCTTCAATGCAATTTACATCAATTATCGGTGCTCTTGCTCTGCAAATTGGCTTTTCATTTTTTAATTTAAACACTAATTTTTAATATAACAATCAAATCTTAAAACATCTGAAGAAAAAAACACAGAAAAGAATATCTGAAAGAAAAAGTCGTAAATTGAAACAAAGAACCCTAAAAAATTACGATGTTAGAGGCGTTAACGAAAATGGATGGATAGTTGTGTAGAAGCTGCAACTTTGCGTTTTATAGAATGCGAAGTTGCAAACGGCTAGACCTAATTTTTAGTTGGGCTTTGATTGGTTTTATTTTGGGCTTTAGTATTGAGTTTTTTGTGTACAATAATTTACTTCCTCCACATTAAAATTATACTCATACTCCCATGTTTCTTTTTTTTTAAAGCTCTAATTTTTAATTTTTATATAATACAGTATAAATTTGAGTTTAATAGACAATGCATTGAAGATGTAAAATGTCTAATTGAAAATTATCACTGTCCTGATGAAAATAATTTGAAATTATTTTTTACGATTCTCGGGAAGGAACACAAAAGCTTTAGTCAGACAGAGCTGGAGTGGTTTGCAAGGAGGCATATCACAAAAGCTTGCTGCCATGAAAAACCTCCAATTTGTTTTCAAAGAATACAGAACATCCTCAATTGCCAAGGAGTTGAAGAGATTATAAGAACAACTGAAGGACGAGAATTGTTGGGTGGCGGATGAGGAAACAATTAGGAGGTACAGGGCTTTATAGCAACAAAGGAGTAATCTACTTAGGATGGAAGAAACTATGTGGAGACAAACAAGTAGAGCTTGTTGGCTTCAAGATGGAGACTGTAACACTAAATTTTTCCATGGGAAGGCTGACCAAAGGAAGAAGACAAACATGACCAAAAGACTCAAAGATGCTACGGGGACATGGAAGAGTGGTCAGAAACAATGTGAGCGAATCCTATTGGACTATTTTTAGGACATTGTCACTTCTTCTTCTCCTTCAAACATACAGGAGGTGTGTACAACCGTTCAAGGAAAGCTCTCAGATTCTCACAAGGAATGGTGTGATGTTGCGTATACAATTGATCAGGTTAATGAGGCGTTGTAGCAAATGTACCCCACCAAAGCTCTGGGGCCTGAAGGTTTTTCAGCACTATTTTTCCAAAAGTACAGGCATGTTGTGGGACGTGATGTTAGGCGGCAAGTGTTAGACGTCCTTAACAACCAAGGTTTCATCGCTCTGGTGCCAAAGAATAAGAAACCTAGGTGTCCAAAAGAGTTCAGACCCATCAGCCTGTGCAATGTTGTGATGAAGTCAGTTACAAAAACGATTGCAAATAGAATTAAGCGCTTTTTGTCGGAGATTATTAATGAGGAGCAGTCTGCTTTCGTTAAAAGGCGATTGATCACAGACAACGCTTTGGTGGCTATGGAATGTTTTCACTGGCTAAAGAAGAAAGACAAAGGGGAGAAAGAGGTCATGGCTCTCAAGCTAGGCATGTCGAAAGCATATGATAGGCTAGAGTGGGAATTTGTTACGAGCACCCTAAATTCCATGGGATTCCCATCGTTTATGTGAATCTTATTGGTCGTTGCATCTTCTCCGTGAAGTACCAAATCCTTATAAACGGCCAACCTAGCAAATGTTTTTCCTCTTGCAAGGGGTCTTCGTCAAGGAGACCCCCTCCTGCCCTATTTGTTTGTTATTTGTGTAGATGTTCTCTCGGGAATGCTGAAGAAGGAAAATAAAGATCGTGGGCTTCGCATTGCATGACGGGAACCTGTTATTTCTCATTTATTCTTCGTTGATGATGTTAGAAATTTAGGGTGTGATAATCCTGGATAACTTCGATGAATCGTGTTCGTACACTTTCCGAACAAAGTATTTCGACTCTATTCTTGTCTGGGTTCACGAAATCTTTGTGGGGATAATTCTCGAAGAAATTCTGTTTCCGACAAAAGAAACGAATTGTAATTATAGAGAGAAGGATGCGTTTTTCTGTATGCGAGACCGAGGCCGAACGACTCCTTATATAGGAGAACAGTAATCGAAACGAAGAGACACAATTGTTCGAAACGAATATGTCCGTTGGGAAACAGTTATGTCCGTTGGTAAACAGTTATGTCCGTTGGGGAACAGTTATGTCCGTTGGGGAAAGGATTCAAAATTTTTGCACGGGGCGCTGCCCCGCACCCCGCCCGCTGACCTGGCAGCGGGACCCCAGCCAGGGGCTTCCGCCCCTTGGACCCCGCGGGGCGCTGCCCCGCACCCCACCAGGGGCTTCGCCCCTTGGAACCCCGTTTCAGTTATTCGTATTCAATTATGTATTGGCTCGACGAGCGTGCACTCCGCACTTCCCTAACTCGTCTCCGAACTTAACGCATAAGTGCATCGGCCTTTAGAAATCACATTACTACTAAAATACATTGGTGATACAAAATCGCCAACAGATGATAGCCTTCTTTTTGCTAGGGCAACCACTACAAAAGCTGAGTGAATTTTGTAAGTTCTTAATAGGTACCAGAATGCTTCGGACCAAGTGGTTAACCTGGACAAGTCAGAAGTCTCTTTTAGCAAGAATGATGCGAAGAGGCGAAGGATCAGGTGTGTGGAAGCTTGGGAGTTCCAAGGGTTAATAACCATGTTAAATACCTTGGAGTCCCCGTAGTGTTTGGAAGATCAAACAAAATCCACTGGATGAGATGGGATAGACTATCGGTTGCAAAAGGGATGAAGGCTTGGGGTTTCGTGATATTGGGGATTTCAACACTAGTCTCCTTGGGAAGCAATTTTGGAGGTTGGCTCAAGGTGGGGTTTCCCTTTTCGCGAAAGTCTTCAAAGGAAATACTTTCCCCGGTGTGATATTATGGAAGCTAGTCTTGGCTATTCTCATAGCTATGTGTGGCGTAGCATTTTTAGCGCAAAGAACTTAATTTCAAAAGGGGCTAGATGGAGAATCGAGAATGGATCAAAGGTGAGGATCTGGAGGGACAATTGGATCCCATCTAACTCGGGTTTTAGACCCTTATGCCATAAGAGTGATGTAGATGTCAATGAGGCGGTCTATTCGCTAATTGATCATGATGTGGGTGACTAGGATAGGCAGGCACTTAACTCATTACTAGATCTGATAGATGTTTTGCAGGTTATTAGCATCACACTCTCTCGTAGAACTACTGAGGATAAACTTATTTGACATGTCGAGAAGGATGGTGAGTTTTCGGTCAAAGGCGTCTGCCATCTCCTTGGGCAGAATAGAAGAAATGTTGTTAGAGGCCCATCGAGCTTCCATCACAGTGACTTCTGGAAAAAACTGTTGAAAATGAGACGTTCCATCAAAAAAAAAATAATAAGAAAAATTATCTTTATGATAAATTCAATACTACAATTTTTAAAATTACGTTTTTTTTAGAAGAATTCAATAACTACATTGAAAAATTCAATACTAAAATTTTAGAATTACGCTTTTTTATTTTTCCTTTCAAAATCAGCATGTTTTGTAGGAATTAATTTTTTAATTTTTTTATAAATATTTTTAATAAATTTAAGTTGAGTTATTTAGAAGTTTTAGTGGGGTAATTTTTTTTCAATTGATGCTTCGAAATGCTATTGGTAAGTAAAATATAAACAAATGGAAGAATGGGTGGTGGGGCTTCTACTTCGCATTATGTATTCGGGGTGTTGCTGTTGTTTAGGAGTTATTTTGGTACAATGAAGATTTTATGCTTCAAAATTAGGGGTTGTGAGGTGCTTCTAAACATGAGGAGATGATAAATCTTATTCCCATTGATCGTCTAAATATATCATTGTAGGTGTGGAGAGTACAATTGAGGATATCCTTCTAGCGATAAGGTATAGAATATGCTTGTGTGTTTTGATATGTAAAAGTGAATCATTTATTCAACTACATAGCTGAGTATTTATATAAGAGAAGCTTGATGGCGAAACTAGTTGTGAGACTTGTTCTTATACCCAAAAAACCGACGAGGTGAGCCTTGTTAAAGGGTGATAACTCACATTTTGTGAGTAATTATATGGCCTAATTCTTTATATTAGCTTGCAGATTTGTTAGTTGATAGTTTAATTTATTCAGTATTTGTTGTTTTTATAGTAATTTGCATAGAGTTTAATAGGTGGTCTCTTTTATAATTTTTGTGTGTTTATTGTTTATAACAAGGTTAATTTTGATGAACTAAGGCAAGATAGTTAGGGACACTAACGGGAAGTCTAAAGGAAAGCTTGAATCTAGAAAGAGATAAGAGAAATAGAGAAACAATTAATTGGATTCCTAGGGCATGCGTGGAAAGAAAGTATTATTGGAAGGGAATATTTGATTCTGTGTTGGAAGAGTTTTTGAATTGAATGGATAAGATTAGGGATGTCAATTTGAATCTATTAACGGATATTCCCGTGGAGATTATCTGTTTGAAACTCTGAAGATGAGATTTTATCCTCCGCGAAGATGGAGATGGAGGAAAAAATTCTCCCGATAACACTTTGGAGCGGGGATCAGGGAAGTATCCTCCGCCCCGCGGATTCCCCGATCACGACCATATTCTTTAACTTTTATATATAATTATATAAGTTTACATGTTTTTTTATAAAAAATAATTAATATATTAGTATATTTTTTTATATGAAGAGTCATTAATAGATAATTGTTTTAAATTAGTGATGATCATCCAATTATATTTTGTTATGCATTGTGGGATATTTATGAGCATATTTTTTTAGATATTTGACAATTCTAATTTTCTATTTTTTTATATGTATTATGATATATTTAAGTTATGAGTTTTTGTATGATTATGCATGGTAACAACATGTTCGGTTGGATCTTTATTATTTTGAAGTAAAAATAAATATTAACAACTGTAACTACTTTTGCATTTTTGTTTGTTATTGATGCAAATACTTTTGCATTTTTGTTTGCTATTGACGCAAGATGT